TAATTAATTTATGAGAAAATACATATTTACATGGGGTTTATGAATTATGATTGATGTCAAAATCTGTGACTTGCCCCACAACTTAGTATCATTAGTTAAATATATTCCAAAGGATATAGAAATGTACAACTTAGTATCAAATATGTAATTAATTTATGAGAAAATACCACATCTAATCATATATATTCCAAAGGATATAGAAATGTAAAACTTAAATCTTATTCATGTAGTATCATTAGTTGCCAGAACATCAAATTAAATTTTAATTTTAATTTAAAGCTAAAATTTTCTGGACACTTTTGTGTATGAACAAAGGAGAAAAAGAAAAAGAACACTACAGTATAGATATTTTGTTCAGCTTTGTATGCTGAAATCTTTTCCATCAAATTTGTTTCTAAGTTTTCAGGATATACTTCAGATACTTCCAAGTTAATTAACATAACACAAGTTAAAAGAAATTACATTAAGTTAAAAAAACAAACTACTGTAAATATAAAATAACATCAGATTAACAATAACAAACATTAATTTACTCTCTCTCTAACTTTAAGTTCTGAATAGTTGCAGAACTTATTAGTTGCAGGTCGGCTTGGTGGTGGCTACTGGTGGTAGTCGGTGTCTCGGTGATAGATCCTGACAAGAAATGTAGCTACAAACTTGGTTAGAAACTTGGTTAGAAACTTGTAGAATTATAAAGAGAAAAAAATGCAGAATTTTACCTGGTTAGAAAATAGAAACTTGTAGGTCGACAGCAGCTTCAAGTAGGAGACTCTGCTGGTGGCACTTGGCAGCTACAGTCGGTGACCGGATTAGTGAAAGAAACGGCTATATGGTAGTCTGGTGGGAAGCAAAGCTGCAGGATGATTGACGATGAGTGCTGGAATGGAAGAGAGTGAAGAGACGAATTGAGTCAACTGACGAGTGACGATTGACGAAGAGTGGAAGATTGAGACAGTGAGACTGGAACTCTGGAAGTTTACACAGTAAAGAGGGGAGATTGGAGACTGGAGAGTGACGGCTTGGGTTTTAGTTTTAGTTTAGGGCATTTGAAATTTTCAGATTTGGCATTTGGGGATTTTTTTTGCACAGACGTGAGACGATAGACGAGTCACGAGTTTTGTTAATCTGTTTTTTTTTTTTTTTTTTTTTTTTTAATAAAAACCGGTTACCGGGTACCCGGTTTTTAAAAACTAAAAACCGATACCCGAACCGAAAATTCGGGTACCTTCTAAAAACTACCCGAAACCGACCCGAATTTTCGGGTACCCGAAAATTCAGGTTCGGTTCGGTTCGGTTACCGTGTTCGGTTCGGTTATCGGTTTTTTTTGCACAGCCCTCAGATCTAACCAGGAAAAGCTAGATATTTGGTCGTGAAACAGCCGTCGTTTCACAACCAAATATTTGGCCTTTCACGGCCAAATCTCCACTTTCATCACTGCCGACAGTAGCTTGGGGTAGGTGGGGGTATTTTTGTTAAGTTAAATTTTTTTTTTTATTAGGGTGTTTTAGCTAAATTTGAAATGTAGGGGGTTAAAAAAATTATTCAAAAAATAATATTATATTAATATTTAAAAAAAAAAAAAGCAATTTAGTAATTGATATAACATACCTGCCAATTTATTCATTTCAACCAAACATATTTAATATAACATACCCACCAATTTATTCCAACTAACCAAACACATTTTCCTAAACATTCTCAGTAATCTTTAAGGTAATCTATCTTTCAATTAATATAACATTTTCAGTAATACAACATTCTCTAAACCAAATACACCCTAAAGTATACGTAACAAAAGCACAAGTCTTATTTAAATCTTAAAAGTTTTTAAATGTAGATCGTGATTAATTTAGCTGAAATTCTATGTGATGATCAATTGAAGTTGAGACTACATACAGATCCCTTCCCTAGAATTTGCCTTATAAAGTTCAATAACCAATTTAATGCTGGGTCCATTGATGGTCTTCTTGCATTTCTAGATGAGATTGAAGTGGAAGAGAATTACTGTTTTGTATTTTTGTTGCTATTCACAACATCAATGCGCCGAATTGCTTCTTGTTCTCATATTCGTATTATTTGTTCTATCACAATGCGAATGCGTGCACCTCTTTGTGTGAATGTTTTTCTTTGATCATTACAAGTTATATATATATATCACTTTTTATTGATCCATGTCCATCTGTACCTGCATTGCTTTAGTTAAATGTTGTCCTGAAATCTTGTGGATAATTTTGTATATATAATAGGAATACCTATCTACAGAAACGCTACTGCCAATACCAAAAACCAGTGTCGGTATATAAGTACTTCGTTAATGCTAGAATGGCATCGGAGAATTGTAAAACTACAACAACACTGCTAACGTCAAGCTACAGGTATTACTCCGACGCCAATCCCAACAGTTGGCGTAATATGAAAACGTAGCAAAATAGAGATGTCAATAGTAAAAGAGTTAGAAATTAAATCTTGAGTTATATTAATGAACGTGATTAAAGAGAGGATTGTTTTGGTATACATCAAAGTAATTAATGAACAAACATGTAGGCTCTAGATTCAAAGACAAAAAAGAGGTTTCTCTTGCATATATAACACGCCAATTAAAAGCAGTAGAAGAAGACTGACATGCAAATTACTTGATTATGCTTTAACTCATTAATTCTTGTTAAACAAGTAATATATTGTCTTGCAAAAGTTTTTTTTAATGATAAAGACGGCAGTGTTTATATTTTCTATCAAACAGATTCACAAATCTAAATTCTGAATTCTCTAATTGCCTGCCTAACTGGCTATAATATTCTATGTGGTAATGCCTTGAATTCCATGAACTCCTCTCATTAATAGATTCAAATTAATCAATCTCTCTCACTATTTGATATGTGGCAGTTGGCCTAGGGATGTAATTACAACAACGGCCTCGTCATAGGAGGGACTAAACAAGGATTGGATCTGCTCTAATACCACTTGTCACGGGTTGAGAGTTTCACATCCAAAAAGTTAACCTATTAGGTAGAGAAACTCTCCCTTTATAAGCTTAAGACTTGTCCAATACGCTTCCATTACGAGATTCATTACACTAGGCTTGCATTTTGAAAAAAACTCGAACGCAGAGTTTTTGCAATCCTGAGTTGGTTTAACCAATACTTAACGTAATATATATTGCATTAAGTTAACTATTAAAGAACCACAAATTCCTATATGTTTCAATGCCTAAACCCTTGATCACAAGAAAGTTTCTTTGGTTTTTCACTACAAGAAAAAGTACTTTTTGCAACTAGGCAAAAATAGTTGCAGATACACCACATTTAGTAACTAAATTCCAATTAGTTGGCCAAAGGGAATAAAATTCTAGGGCCCATTTATTCCCGTCTTTAGCGTCTAAAATTAATATTTTGCGACTAATGTGATTTTTTACCCAAAATACCACATCAGCGACTAATTTATTTGGTTGCCAATTCTTGCGTGAACACAATTGGCAACTACAGCAAGGGATTCTGCAACTAAAATTATGGTTACAAAAAACAATTATTTGCAACTACTGAATAGTTGCTAAATTAGATGCAAATATTTATTAATTAATTTGTAACTATTTTTATTAGTTACAAAATAATACAATTACCGAAATATCCAAGTTTTAACAATAATTACAAAGGGCTCAAGGTACATTTGGCAACTAATTATTTTGTGCATATTACAATTAGTTGCAAAAACTCATGTATAGCAACTAAAATGTATTTAGTCGCTAAAAGTTGATGAATTTTTTTTAACCAACTTTCCTGGTAAAATGAAAAAATATTATTTTAATTTGTGACTAAAATTACTGTTGCGTAACTAATTAGTTAGTTGCAAATTATCTTCTTTTGGCAACTAAGATTTTAGTTGCCAAATGCATGGTAAATTTTGAACGCCCCAAGTTCCCGTTTGAAATAAAGATTTTAGTTGCCAAATGTATGGTAAATTTTGAGCGCCCCATGTTCCCGCTTGAAATAAACTGAAATTTTGAGTATGTTATTTTGGCAACTAAAGTTATAGTTGTTAATAGGATTTTTTTGCAACCAAAATGTTAGCCGGTTCAAGTTGTAGCAAAGGCAAGGGGTGGCTACAAATTACCATACCCAAAAAAAAAAAAAAAAAAAAAAAATGTGTCCTTGATAGTAGACCAAAACTGTAGGGACTACTTTATAATTAGCACAAATAATGTGGTATTAAGACCTTAAACACCACAACAATTAGAATCCAAATTAAAAATTTTTAAGGATAACATCAATATTAAATTTCTATTATTTTTTTATTCAGGAATTTAATTTTATTATTTGATTTATATATAAGTATATACATGAAGGTTCATTAGTTGTGTCCATGATGATGATGATGATAATATTTATATCTGGAGTGTTAATCATGTTACCATGCAAGGCAAGCTGCAACATTAAGCAAATTCATGCAGGTTTTTAAGTCTTTTTACAATAAATTAGTTAGAGCAAGTTGGCTTTTGGTGCCAATATTTCAGTTCAACCCGTTATGTGTTTTCTAACAAAGTGCAAGTGGCAGAGTAAGTTGCAGATCTAATGGTGGAAGATGACAGCTGAAGAATAAGTTCAATAGAGAAGATTGTGTGAAAGATCAAGTGGTTGTGTATAAATTGTAGTCATTGTCAAGGTTCATGCATGGAAAAAATTTATGATATAAAGAAATATAAACACGTACTTTTCATGCTCTGTTTTTTTTGCATTTACACTTTTCTTTACTGTTACTCTTATCTTGACATGGTATTAGAGCTGCCGACAGACGCCAATGGCAGATCCTAAGGCATCTTCTTCTTCAGCTTCAGTTGTAGACGAAATGACAACAACCTCCATGTTAACCTCACCTCTAAGCAATACACTTCCAACTGTTTCTGTAAAACTAGGAGAAAGAAACTATGCATACTGGAAATCTCAGGTACTTCCAGCCTTGAAAGCTTATGATTTGGAAGGTTTCGTAACAAGTGAAAAATCATGTCCCTTATCCTTTTTCCTTATTGATGAATCCAAAAGAGAAGTAAATTCTGAACATATAATGTGGAAGAAAGTTGATCAGTTCTTGTTTGGTTAGTTAAATTCATCAATATCCGAAACAATGTTCTGGCATGTAGCAAACTATAATACTGCGTATGATATATGGCATACCTTAGAGATGCATTTTCTTACTGATTCTAAGGCTAGAGTGTTGCATTTACGAAATCAATTACAAACAACTAGGAAGGATAACTCAAGTATAAACGACTATATGTTAAAGATGAAAGAAATTGCTGGCTTCTTAACCACCAGTGGCGTAACTGTTAGTGATGAAGAGCTACTGCTTTACATTCTTGATGGTCTTGGCTCTGAATATGATGCCATGGTTGCCACCTTAACGTCAAGAAGCAGCAAAGTATTTCTACAAGAAGCGCAGTTTCTACTGCACAAACATGAAATGAGGCTAGAAAAGTAACATTCAGCTTACTTAGGCTTTCATGAAGCTACAACATTTCTTGCTCACAAACAATCGTCTTCTCCACCCCAAATTGTGCTAATGAACAACAATACAGATCAAAAAATACCACAAGACTCACAAACTCTACCTTCATATCAAGATGAATACAAGAATACCTATAACAGCATTCAGCAGTTTCAAACCTTCAATCTAGCCTTTGGTAGGGGCAGAGGTAGAGGACAAAATTTTTACAAGCCACGACTGATTTGCTAGTTATGTGGAAAGCCAGGTCATATGGCTCTTCAATGCTATCATCGGTTCGACACAAATTTTCAAGGACATCAAAATCACCGACCTCAGTTTAGCATGCACTACAGCAATCCACAACAGTCCATACAACACGTAAGTCCTGCACAAGCCTACTTTGCAAATACAACAAGCTCATATGCTCCTTATGGCACATCACAACCCTTCCCTCTGATTTCACTAGTGATTCCTCATCAAGTGCAGTTTCAGAATGCCTCACACCTGAATCAGTCTTTTCCTCTTAACCTGAATCAATCTTCTGCAATAACCTCTCCTGCTGGAAATCAAAAAAATTCAACCGCAACACCACTTACAGTAACTGATCCTACTTGGTTCATTGACTCTAGAGCCACTCACCATATTACATTAGATCCTCAACATCTTCCTTATAAAAATTAGTATACAGGTTCAGACTCTCTTCAGGTTGGCAACAGTCAATGTCTTGACATTTCACATATAGGTTTGGCATTTATCCATTCTTCTTGTGTAAATAAATCCTTACAACTTAGAAATATACTCTGTGTTCCTCAAGTTACCAAGAATCTCCTTAGTATTTCCAAAATTACAGGAGATAATCATGTGGTAGTTGAATTCTTAGCTGATGAATATGTTGTTAAGGACAAACTAACCCAGGAGGTCGTGCTTAAAGGAACTATGCTCAATGGTCTCTACCAACTTACCATTCCTTTAGATTCTACCGACAATAAACAAGTCACAAGTTCAGCATTGGCTTCTGCTCAAACTTCAAATTAAACAATTAAACATGCTATGGTTTCTTTTCTACATCAGTCCGTGGATCATGACTCCTCAGCAACCTATGTTACTCCATCTAGTTGTTCTAGTGTTTTACCTTCAGATTTTGATATTGTGTGTAATCCAACAAGTTGTTTGGTCACTTGTACTTTACCTAGTATACCTGCAAATAATGTTGAACAAACTGGTCTTACATAAGACGCAGATTTGTGGCACCGCAGACTTGGTCACCCTCATATAATTGCTCTCAATTCTCTTGTTTCACATTTGAATGTAAATGATCACTCTATTAATAAAGTTCAGTTATGTACAGCATTTCAGTATGGTAAACTTCGCCAGAATTCTTTTTCCTCCATCAGCTTCTCAATCAAGCCAACCTTTTGAACTTGTTTTTGCGGATGTATGGGGCCCTGTACCTGTTACCTTAGCCACTGGCTTCAAGTATTATTTACTATTTCTTGATGATTTCACATGCTACTCTTGGATTTATCCTCTAAAACTGAAATCTGAGGTACAAAATATTGTTCAACAGTTTGTTGCATTAGTGACTCAACAGTTTGATGGCAAGATCAAGACCTTCCAGTCATATTGGAGAGGTGAATTTCGTCCTCTTGCTGAGTATTTTGCTAAGCAGGGTATTCATTTCAGACATCCCTGCACTTATATTCATCAACAAAATGGAAAAGTTGAGCGGAAACACCGCCATGTGACAGAAGTTGGATTAACGTTGTTAGCTCAAGCCTCTATGCCACTTAAGTATTGGTGGTTTGCCTTCCACACTGCTGTGTATCTAATAAATCGTCTTCCCTCTGCAGTTATATCCCATATCTCACCTTTTCAAAAGCTTTTTCATAAAGTTCCAAACTATAAAGCTATTCGTACTTTTGGATGTCAATGTTTTCCTTTCCTTAGACCTTATCAACAACATAAATTTTCCTTTCACTCAGAACAGTGTGTTCTTTTGGTTTATAGTTCTCATCACAAGGGTTATCTTTGTCTCAATGCTCATGGCAAAGTTTACACGGTTCAGACTGTCAAGTTCAATGAGCAAATATTCCCTTTTGCCAATGGTTTTTCACTTACCAATTCTGATGTATCTACAAATGCTAACTCTTGTTTTTTGTCTCAGGCTTGGAAAATTCCTCATATATCATTGATTCATCAGCCTTTGTCTCAAACTACTTCAGCTCCTTCAACCTCCTTGTCTGATGTTGAGCCATCTGCCCATAACACTCCTATTATACCTTCACCTACTTTCTGTCCTCCAAAATCACCTGTACCATGTTTGGAAGTTGATTTCTGAGCCTATAACACTCCTTCTCAACCCTCCCATATTTCTACACTAAATATCCATCCTATACTCACCCGTAGGAAAGCTGCTACCCTTATCTCTGAATGCACAACCATAGTCCCTGTTCCCTCATTTGAGATTCATAAAGAACCCTCATCTGTCAATACCGCATTACACAATCCTCTTTGGGTTCAGGCCATGGATACTGAGTTTACTACACTACAAAATAATCACACCTGGACTTTAGTCCTTTATACTGATAATATGACTTTAGTTGGTCATAAATGGGTTTTCAAAGTCAAGTTAAATGTTGATGGTAGTCCCAACGTTACAAAGCACGCCTTGTGGCTAAGGGTTTTCATCAAACTCCCGGAGCTGATTTTTTAGAAACATTTTCTCCGGTTGTTAAGGCATCCACCATTAGAGTCATCTTATGCTTAGCCGTGCACAATGGGTGGGAGGTTCAACAAGTAGACGTAAATAACGCATTCCTAAATGGTGACCTTATTGAAGCTGTTTTCATGACACAACCTGAGGGATTTATTGATCAATCTAAATCTCATCATGTTTGCCGGTTGCACAAAGCTTTATACGGCTTAAAACAAGCTCCCAGGGCCTGGTTTGATAAACTTAAAACTGTGTTGCTGAGCAAAGGTTTTCAGAATTCCACCTCTAATTCTAGTCTCTTTTATCTTATTCAAGATGCCATGATTATTTATATTCTTGTTTACATTGATGATATACTATTGATTGGCAATAACCCCTCCTTCATTCACTTCATCGTGTCAGCTTTGGATACTGAATTTGGTCTAAAGATTCTTTGTTCTGTTCATTATTTCTTGGGCATCTCTGTTGTTCATACTTCATATGGGTTACAAATTAATCAGGCAAAATATGCTCAAGAAATTCTCTCCAAGTTTGGCATGACAAACTGCAACCCGTGTGCCATGTCTATGGTTCTTGGTTCCAAGCTACACTTTGAGGATGGTCCTCTCTTCGAACAGCATTCCCTCTACATAAGTCTCATTGGTGCTCTGCAATATCTTACCATGACCAGGCCTGACCTCTCTTTTGCTGTAAATAAACTCAGCCAATTTCTCAAAGCTTCCACTATTACTCATTTGCAAGCTTGCAAGAGGGTTCTCCGGTATGTTCAAGGTACACTCACTCATGGTCTAACCTTTCACCGCAGTTCCACACTTCATCTTGAGGGTTATATGGACACCGACTAGGCTAGCAATCTGTTAGACCGCAAGTCTACCAGTGGGTACTGCCTTTTCCTTGGTTCTAACTTGATACAGTGGGGCTCTAAAAAGCAACAAGTCGTTGCTTTATTTTCCACTGAGGCTGAATACAAAGCTTTAGCTCAGGCCTCTAGAAGTTGCTTGGCTTCAAAACATGTTCCAGAAGCTTCAAATTTTGATTCCATGTTTGCCTGTCCTCTGGTGCGACAACACCAGTGCCGGTGCTCTTGCTTCAAATCCGGTCTTCCATGCTCGTACAAAGCATATCGAAATAGATGTCCATTTTGTACGCAAAATGGTTCAGTCTAAACGACTTATGGTGCAGTATGTTGCTTCTCAATTTCAGGTTGCAGACGTTCTTACCAAGCCTTTCTGTGGTCCTCGGTTTCAGACTCTTCGTGATCATCTTCATGTGTTTAGCTCTTCCTCTGTTCTTTAGCTTGAGGGACGATCTCAGGGACAAGCTTCACCACCTAAGAAAACTCTAAACAGATATGATAAAAGCACACACTAGTTTTCTTCTTGAAAGACGACATGCAAGATTTTTTTATAGAAGAAATTTTTTTTTTTTTTTTTTGCTTAAAATTTTGCTTGAGGGACGATGTTACCATGCAAAGCAAACTACAACATTAAGCAAATTCATGCAGGTTTTTAAGTCTTTTTACAATAAATTAGTTAGAGCCAGTTGGCTTTTGGTGTCAGTATTTCAGTTCAACACGTTATGTGTTTTCTAACAAAATGCAAGTGGCAAAGCAAGTTGCAGATCTAATGGTGGAAGATGACAACTGAAGAATAAGTTCAACGGAGAAGATTGTGTAAAAGATCAAGTGGTTGTGTATAAATTGTAGTCATTGTCAAAGTTCATGCATGGAAAAATTTTATGATAAATATAAACATGTACTTTTCATGTTTTGTTTTTTCTACATGGAAAAATTTGCTCAGCTCAAGTGGCAGAGCAAGTGTTCGTTTTTTCTTTACTGTTACTCTTATCTCGACATGGAGTAATACTACTTATTCCAAAATATATCTTAAAAATTACATTCCAAATGGCGTGTCACCATATGTGCCATTGCTATATCAATTAACAAATTATTAATTAATTTACAAGTCAAAACCACTTATAATAGTATTATTCTTATATATAAATATACATGATGCTGCTATTAAAATATTCACACCTTAATAAGAGTAAACCCTCTAAAGTCTATAACACATATATAATTATTTTTGGAAACTAAATATCATAGCATGAGTTTTCTTGGTTGCTTCTTCTGTCAAGTATTCACTAAATTAGAAATTTATAATTCAGGCCGGCTTTACCTTAGCAATTAAGGTAGTTTCCTTGGAGACAAAAGTCCTAAAAATCAATGTAAAACTAGAAAAAAAAAAAAAAAAAAGATTAAAATTGTTTAATTTTCAATTTT